GTGTCATTTGACCCCCAGTGGGGTCATGACACATAGGTTGAGAACTGTTGTTCTAGGTGATAGATAGGAGGAAAGGAAAGAGTCAGATCAATATCTGAGTATTATCTTGGTGATTGAGAGGCTGAGAAGGGCTGTTCCTGTGAGAAGAAAGTACAGTGATCAGATGAGAGAAACAAGAAAAAGACCAATAGACCAAGAAAATAGAGAAGTGCAATCACTTAGGAAGGGCTAGTCTTCCAACATGCTCATCCGTGCACAGGCTCAGTGCCTGCTCTTTGCCTTCATAAGTGCTCAGGAGGAGGCCACAGGCTGACTTAGAGATGACTAATTTATTCATTTATTTCTTGTTTCCAGGATCCTGGGGAGCTTTGGAGTACAGAAGAATTCCCTGCTGTCAAACAACTGTTATCCTTACACCTGCAATCCCATGAGTCAACAAAGGGAATCACAGGTGGTTCAGTTGAAAAATCAAAGTATTGCCTTGTTTCTCTACCATAAATCTCAGATGGACATTGGTGGACACTGACCATTGGCAGGTGAGGAAGGTGGAATAGAAGAACATCACTAAGCCAGAAACCCGCATCGCCTGTCTTGGGGAATTTACTGTGAACAAGTATCCCACACAGACTTGCCTAGCAGACCATATGCCCAAAGGCTCAGGTTTAAATCATCCCATGACACTGGCTGTCACCTGAAAATTAGAGCCTATTTCCTTGCTGAAGTCATGCCCCACACCAAGTCATATGAATTTCTAGATCCTCTCCCAACTACCTGCCCTACAGGCTGGGACTTGGATTACACAAACACTTGAATTCACTGTTCTAAATACTGCAATTTGTGTGTCCTGTCTGCTGTCCTTTGCCTCTGCATTTGACATGTTTTGATTCTATAGGGTTGTGGCTTTTGTTTCATCAACAAGGTAACTATGTGGTTAATTACCCTTTGACTCTTGGACAGGAAACATCCATGGCTCCAGAAGTCTCAGATGTCTTGGCATTTAACTGTCATTGTCAGCCTCTCACCCATTCATCACCCCCATCTCTCTGCAGTGTCAGGACATGTGTGCGCTGTGGAGGAATGTCCAGAAGCTAATTGGAGCCACCAAAATGTTGGTAGTGTGTTGAGTTGTCTCATCTGCCAATCACCTCCATGGTTTCATCAGACTGTAGCTATCGCAGGGGCCAGAACACTGATGGAGGAGAAAACAGGAAGGGCTGCCCATTTACTGGCTAAGTACACTTGAGCCAGATAGACTGAGTAGAGGTGGAACATTTTCTTGCCACATCCTCTCAGCTTCTGTGCAGTGGTTCCAGCCAGTCTTGATTTCCCACTTGGTCTTGTCTCAAGCAACTGATTTTCTTTGTGAAACATTTTCCTGGTGTCAACTAAGCAAAGAATTCATGAAGACATTCGCTTTGAATATTTGTAGAAAGCATGCTAAGTTCTACAAGGCCTTGAGTTTTGGGAGTTAAAGGCATATCTAAGATCTGATCCAGCTTCTTCCAGTTGTGAGGCAGTTTAGTAGAGGCGATGATGCACATATATTAGATGCTGAAGAGAGTCAAGCATGCTCCAAGAGAGCCAGGGGCTCTTCACACCTGAGTTCTGCATTGTGGGCAAGGCTTGGATATGCACAAACAGGAGGGAAGGAACTACATGGTGTTTAGAATATTAGCAAGGTATGAAGGCAAAAAATGTGCAGAATTTTTGTATCAAACCCAATTGTTTCATTGAGCTGAGGGAAGAGTGTATGATGGGAGGAAAGATACAACTACAGAGGAAAGGAAATGATAGGACCGATAGGAGAACTTGGATTGCACTGAATAAGAATAGATGATCGCCGGGCAGTGGTGGCGCACGCCTTTAATCCCAGCACTCGGGAGGCAGAGCCAGGCGGATCTCTGTGAGTTCGAGGCCAGCCTGGACTACCAAGTGAGTTCCAGGAAAGGCGCAAAGCTATACAGAGAAACCCTGTCTCGAAAAACAAACAAACAAACAAAAAAAAAAAACAAAAAAAAAAGAATAGATGATCATGCAGCAGTGCCTTGCTTACCCATTAATGCTGAAAAGTCCAACATTTAACATCACCTGTGGCATATTTAATCTGACACTAGCTCTGAACCTGAGAGTTATTTTTTAATTTGATGTTTGAATATGAATAAAATATATTTTGGTCACTCTGCCCTACTTCCTCCCCTCTAACTCCTCACATTTCCCTTCCTACCACCAATCCCCACCAATTTCATGTACCCATTTAAAAACCCAGAGTCTTTATTGCAGCCAGTATGTGCATGGGTGTAGGACCATTCACTGGAACATGGACAGTCTATGAGAAGCTGGACCCCAGGAATACCAACTCCCCCTCTCCCAGTATCACTCTGTTAATATTGGTGAATGTAGTTTGAGGTTTAAAGTCTAGGGGCCACTCAGTGGTGCTGTGTAATTGGGGTAGCAGACACCATCCTTGTTCAGCTAGGGTAAGGTGTGACTTCTGACCACACCAATGAATCCTCCATTAGGCTAGCAGGCTCTTGCTTCATGTACCCAGAAGTCATGTGCCAAAGAGCCTGAGGTGAGGATTTTCAGTAGGGTGCACAAACACTCAGCACAGGCATTGATCAGATAGTATTAGAATCCCATCAGGTAGAGGGAGTGAAGAGTTCCCTTGGAGTGCACAAGGGCTTGAGGTGCAAGTCTTCAGATGGCTTAAAATCACTGCAGTTGGGATGGTGATCAGGGTGAACAGTACTCACATGCTAGAATGTTTCAAGGATACTTTCCCTTTTGTTGTCAAGATACACTTTAATAAATTGCTCAATATATACTCCTGGGTATCAGCTGGTGCTGTGTTGTGTGGTGTGAAGTGTTGAGGAAGGATATTGATTGAGGCTGATAGTTTGAATAACCCTCTTCTTTCTTTATTGTAAAATGCATTTGGGAATAGGAATGTTTATAAATGTTTCAATATGCAGCTATAAGCCTGTGAATGGAATGTTGCATTACATACAGGTCAAGCCTTCTCATGTCTACATGGGAATAAACAGGTGAGTGGTTAGAGTGACTGTCTAGAAGCTCTGGTGTGTTTCCTCCTTTCACCACACAGACATTCAACTCCCAAGCCTTCCCAGATAAGTGAATTGAACTTGGTCTCATGCTGAGAATATAAACAAATTCAAACTGACTCTAGCATCCCAGGTCTCACAGGGTCCTTCATCTTGGGCCTACCTTATTGATATCATTGCTAGGAGCATAGAAGCCCCTGAGAGGGACCACAGATGCCTGCTTTGAAACTCAGGCTACTGACTATTGTGTTTTGTGGTGTGCGGGAAGGCTGAGTTCAGGTGCTTCCTTTTCAGTCACTCTAATCTACAGGCTCTGACAGCCATTCCTGTTGTGTGTGTCAGTGGTGTGGCAGTGGGGCTCCTTGATCACCATATTAGGCCAGCTCCAGCTGTGGAACCCTGTCCTCACAAGCTCTAGAAAACTTTCCTGTGCTTCTACTTTTCCCCAACTGGTATGGCCTGAGCATATGGACTGAGGGAAAAGGACAAACCAGGAAACTCTGCCATGTCAGCATTACTCAGCTACCTAACAATGTGAGGGTCACTGTACTCAGCCATTCCAGGGCTGCTCAAGGATTTTGGCATCAAGAACTGCAACATCTTGAAAAGTAATGTCAAGCAGTCACCCACACAGGTGTCCTCCAGGCTCCTGGGATTCCCATGCCTCCCCCTAAGATTTGTTCAATCTTACAGCTTCATCCAGCAGTCCTATGCTCTGTGAGGAAAGTGCTCTGTTCTCTAACATCCTATTCTCCACCAAAAACTAAAATGACTTTCCACATGCAGAGCTTTACCTATGATTGTGAGAACTATGGCTGTCTAGAAAGCCACTGAGTAAACTTTAAAGTCACACTGGCACCAGAGCAGTTGAGTACCTATCAAAAGCCCACATGCCACTACAATCTTCCTGCTGTCCTCAGGACTAAAATCACCTCTGAACAACCTCATCTCCAAATCCATCACATTGGAGGTTACAGATTCTGATGAATTTAGGAGCACACAAACATTCCTTTTCTAACACCCTAGTATAAATCATGTGGCCCAAGATATGTCATAAAACTCTTGGCTCTTTCCTTTGCTTTCTTATGATTATAGTTCATTGCCTTACAAAAGACATGTGATGATATCTGGAAGGACTATCCATGCCCCAACCTGTAGTGGGTAGCCATTCCAGCTTTGATCTGGAAGTTCCAACCCCCATTGAGGCTTCGGTAACTGTCACTCCTACATGGCGGGGCCAAGAGAGTACCCTGAAAACCCAAGATCCGGATGGGCCAGCTCTCTTGGTTACTGGACCCTGGACGCTGGATGTAGACCAAGCACAGTTCTCCAGAGAACACCACCAGACTGTGCTACACCTTTCCCAGGCCCTGTAACCAATCCCTTTACTTACAAGTTATCCCACAAAATAAACCTCCCTTTTAACTACAAGGAGTGGCCTTAATAATTTCACCAATACCAAACTCTCCTACTTCCACCACTGTGTAGACAATAGGGGATATGTTCTTCTTGGTGCTAGACAAATGAGCAAGATCACCTTTTAGGCTGTAGGGCTGGGGACATGATCCCTGGAGCACACTGCCCAGCCAGTCTAGTCTAATTGTGGGCTCTAGGTTGAGTGGTAGACTCTGTCTTAAAAAGTAAGATAGAGACAACACACACACACAAAGGCAAACCAACCATACAAAAAGTCTGCAGACATAGTGGGAGCCTATATTCATAGCCACACAGGAGGTTAGCAGCCACTGATATCTGTAAGTTTGGCAAATAGGATGATATGCTATGAACAGGCACTGTGTGAGATGTTCAGCTCTAGAACATGGGTTCTTCATCAGGACATATGCAGGGGTCTACCAAGTCAGTAATACTCCTAGGATCTCAAAGTCATCCACACAGACACAAGACTTACAGTAAAGCACAGGGTTTATTAAGCAAAGATGTACCTTATTTTGAGCAGATATTAATTTCTCACAATTGGATATCTATTTCACATATGTTACCCAATGTAACAGGGTTATAGGGCTACAGAAGGGAGGTGGGAATAAATCAAGATTAAGACCCCAGAATTTGGGAAAAGGACATGGTGTGAATAACTTTTTCCATATTGCAAACTTATGTGGCATTTTTTATTTTGGCCAAAAGTCCCCTGAAAATATGTCCATTGAAGTCAGCTTGCCACATGAAATAGCTTGGGGCAAGCAGGGGCCAGTGAATACTTGTTATCACACCCAAAGTGGGATGTGACAGTTTGCTTCTGTAGCATCATTTCCAATAAACTGATTATGCTTTAAAAATAATTAGAAACTCAATTGGTAAATAGAGAAAAAAAAAACCCACCCTCCCTCTCCCATAAAGGGACTCTGCCCATTTTGTATGTCCCTTTCCCACACAGACCATCTGGTGGTCTGTCTTCTGCCTCATCTTCCCCTCATGGATGAGGATCAATGTTCTCTTCAGCCTGAAAACAACCAGAATTTTCTTGACCAGGCTGAATCAAGTGTGGCCCATTCTCTCTTCGGGGGTTAGAAGAGGCAAGCTGAAAAAAAAGAGGGGGAGGGTGATAGAGTAAAATACTCTGTTATACTTCTTTGGCCCATTTTGTGGCTATGGAAGGATCCTTTTATTTCAAGCTCGGGAGCAATTGACAAATTCTTTTGCAGTAGGGGCTTACAGGGTGATAGTAGGAGAGAGAGAACTGGGAAAGACATGAGGCCTGTCCCATTTCTTCTTCCAGCTGCTTCTCGGCTTAATGGCAGTCCTGAGACATCAAAATTCCCTTTTAAGCTGAAGCATGTGTGTCTGGCCCTCAACTTTTCTGCAACCAGGCCTAGCCAAAGTCCACCTTTAGGCTTGGACTTGCATTTCTACATTTCCAGAGTGGAAGAAGAGTTGTCAGCTCCCACCAGGGAGTGGAGGAGGAGATCAAGCACAAAGGCAATGTTACCAAGATGTCTGTTGTAGGACTCTTTTTTTGAATATTTTGAAATGAAATAGGACGCAGTAAGTGGAACCTAATGAGGTGAATAAGAAAAAAATCGAGTAGGTATTGTGCTCTAATCTGGGCAGACAGCTAAAGACCAAGGCAGTAAGAGCAGGAATGACCAGAAGGCAGAGAGCGGATCCAGAGTGTGTCCTCACAGTGAAGCCCTTAATGCTCCTACTCTACTTCTCTTAAAATGAGCTATCTGAATCCCTACCCTCACTGGCCTGCACTATCAAATCAACTTGGTGACAACTCTGACTATTAGGACCCCATTCGAGGGTGTCATTGTCTTGGTAAAAGGCAAGAAATGGGGTACTACTGAAGTCTACTTTGCTAAAAGCCCCATCAGATCATTTGCTCATTTTGATCTCTATATAGGCAGTCCCTCATCGGGACCCAATTTCTAATGACACTGATGGTTCAGTTGGTCAAGGCATGTGTTTGAAAATATCTCACATTAAGTTAGTTAGAATTTCTAAACATTTAGAATGTCTAACCATCCTTTTGATTACTATTTTTGTTTAAGGTAGATTGTGTTGTAGGATGAAAACACTTTTGTATGGGTTATTAATTTGTCAGATTTTATATTTCTGCTCCTCATAGGGCTAGCTGGTCTTAACATGAGGAGCTAATTCTTCTGTATTATTGTCATCTGGACCAGCTTTTATACTGCAATCCAGCCCCAACAGACGGCCCCCAAGTATGTCTGCCATGTCTAACCTAAGGCACCTCATAGATGCTTTACGTTAAAGCACATTCAGCAAAGTGAACTTTAGGGATTTTCTCAATATAATGAGACACACCCAAGGTAAGAACTAGACTGCATTGCAGGATCATAAGATCTGTAAGTCCAGAAAGCAATCTGGACTCAGCAATGCGTTTGGCATTAAAAATGAGTTGTGTCTCACTTTCATTAGGTAATCTATGCTGTGGAAGACTGAAAGTTAGGTTGTATTTAAGAATCATATGTGGAGCTCAGTTATACAAGGATCCAAGTAGACGATGATTTTACTCAGCAGTGAGTTCTACCACCACATGTATAACTTTCTTCAAACTGATAATGCTTTCTAGTCTGCATTTCAAACACAGTGTATATTGCTGAGGTATCCTCCTTGTGAAAAAGAGTTCCAGAATCCCTCTTGATCCATGGGATATCTCTATCATGTCCATTTTCTTTGTCTATAAAGCCAATTGATGTTGACCCTTAGTAAATGATGGTGTTCTGTAAAGTGGCTCATGGCATTGTGAAAATTATTATTTCATCTATAGCTGCATGAAATTTTCTGAGCTCCCCAGTCCAGGTCTGTTTGAGTCAAGACTTTCAGATGATTGGGGATCACTTACTTGTGACATTGCTAATGGGTGTTGTGAACTTGCAGATGGGTGACTTGTCACTGCTGCTGCTGAGTGATTGGTTGCTGCCAGAGGTTGATATGTCTCTGCTACTGGTTGATATGGCAGTGGTGTTGTTTGACGTGGCCTTGCCAATGGGCGATACAGCAGTGGAGGAGTATGATTGGCATTATCAGCACAAAATCTGCAAAAGAAGAAATTTGGATCAGTGACATAGGTCAAAGAATGATGGACCATGAGAAATTCTCCTGGTCTTGAGTGTTTGGTGTACATTTGTTTTCAGTATAAGAGCTTGTCAATGTAAAAGGAACACAGATGCTGAGATAAATTACAGTCAAGTCACTTGTCTCACCTGCTTTCTTTTGTGTCACAAAAATAGTTTCACCATGCCTGTGCTCTCTGTGGCCTTGTATATGCCATTCCATCTGGCTAGAAATGAGTACCTCAGGGATCTGGTGGCTGAGTAATACCTACCAGCAAGGCACATTTCCTAACATCAAATCCAGAGCTCTTCCACAACCAAAAGCTTGGGCAATTCAGGGAATGATATGGGTTGCAAAGCCCTACCAAAGACCCTGAATCTTCATTTTAATCCTTTTTTAGGTAGGCTCTGATGATGAGAAACATTACAAAACATGACACTGACCCACTTCACCACATGTAAGGGCAGATGGAAATCCCCATAGCTTTTTGAGACTCTGCTTCAGTAAGACAGCATTCATTTAAAAGCACTTATTGAATCTTAAGTACATGCTAGGAAGAGCCTTTTCTCTCTGGTATTTGAAGTGAGAGACATTATTATTGGGCTAGAATGTATGTATGCCTTCATACTACACAATTCATGTTCAGCCTTTATATGCTGTTGCCTGTTCACAGAATGTAACAAACATCTATTTCCGTGGTTTTCATGGTCAATGCCTTCATTCCAGAGAAGCTGAAAAATGGACATGAAATTCCGCAATTACTTAGCTGTGGTCACTAAGGACTTCTGTGCAAATACCCTGTGCTGAGAGTCTGGACTTGAGCAATGAAGCCCAAATGATTTCAAGGCTTATATGTGAAATCTCTAGCTTTTAGGGTGTCTTATCTAGCCTTTTTGTGTGGAAGACCCTCCATTTTATCAACAGATACTGAAATAGGCACTATATAGGCAGGAACAGCGGAAAAGAAATGGCCTCCACCCTTTTCCCCAATCCATCTGTCTCTTACCTCTGTGTCTCACTTCGTGGATGTGCAGAGTTATTGTTTCCAAAGGAAGTAGTGGGAAGTCGTCCCAGGTCATTAGTAACGGTTACCACCTGCACAAAACCAATAGTTATTGTAAAACGATACAGTATGCCATTCATCCCCTTATCAACATCTGAGGCTCTGACTACTCCTGTACCTGATCTCGTGGCCGATATACCTGATTTTCTTGTCTTTGCCCCATCTGTTGCTGTGCCATCGGCCGTTGGTATGGTAAATTGCGAAGCATCTCAATACGTTGAGCCAACTCATATACACATTGTTCTTGTTCCCTCTCCTGCAGGTATTGATGCATCAGAAACAAATATAAAAGTACTTTGATGTCTGAAAAAGCACCCCTGCTAGAAATGACCAACCTTCAAATGAACCCGAAAATAATGGAAGTCTGGTCTCTGTTGGTACTGGGCTATGGGAACTACTGGCTGCTTTGGCAACACACTAGTCACAGACATGTGTGGGAGGCCAACTCCCACATTTTAAAAGGTTCCTATAAGGAGGAAAGCATGCTCAGATCTTACTAGGAAACCTTTGTGGGTCTCTACAGACATGCCATTGGGTTACAGACATTTGAGAATCCAGAACACCTGCACAAGCATGTGCATGTCATTGAGCCTGTATATAGATCTACTTATTACAGATATTTTTAATGCTTTGGGGCAACTCAATTGCAGCATATGGGGTAGGCTGAGCCAAGTAAAAGAAGCCAATCAAACTTATTATGCAAGTGGAATCTAATTTCAGTTATAAAAAGTAAAATCAACATTCCATACCTCTTCTTCAATATCTCTGTAAGAAGTTGGTTCCTCATGGAAGGATCTACTTATACTCAAATCATAGACCTGTGTCCTCACCCGTGGGCCACAGAGTTGGGCAAACCTTTCTCCCAAAAGTGGACGCTGGAAGTGACGTGGTCTTCTTGGCTGTAATTGGAAGGACACAAAATTACAAAGGTCTTGCTTTAGTTAATGGTTTTCCTTAGTGCACAGAACACAGTGAACATGGAAAAGTGTTTTTCACCCAAGCCCAAACATTAAGAAGCTGCACTGGCCCCTGCTAAGAGCTGGCTGGGCTCTCCTCAGCTCCTGTACACAGCCAGATTGCAGAACCATCACTTATTATTTTAGGAATTTTAAATCATAACTGCATTAAGAGTTTAATTGCATCTTAATCCAAAAAAGAAGAAAAAACCAAAGACAATTTAGCACAAGGAATTTTTGTTTGTTTGTTTTTTTTTGAGAGTTTGTCTGTGTAGTTTTGGTGCCTGTCTTGGAACTCAGTCTGTAGACCAGGCTGGTCTCAAACTCACAGAGATCTGTTTGGTTCTGCCTCCAATGTGCTGGGATTAAAGGGGTGCACTACTGCCACCTGGCTTCTTTTTTTGTGGGGGCGGTACGGGCATTTTTCAAAGGGTAAATGTATTCACATAGATTTCCTAAATAGTTCAAATAAATTTCATGGTACTCCAGAAATCCCTGAAAGGCAAGAAGGCCTTTTCAAAAATGGAGACATTGAGGCTCAGGAATTTGCCATTGTCACACTACTGGGACTAAACGGAAATGCCTGTGTTTTAGCTTTTCATTTTATGAAGATTACTTTGGTCATTGCAGAAGGAGATCTGATTTTTGAGTCAGTAATAGGTACACACAATTATACATTACTGATGCAAAGCACATTTCTTAGCTTGTTCATCCTGTATATTTAAGAATTCTATATAGTATAAAAAATGATTATCAAAATGCATGGTTATGTCCACAGTTTCAAGGATAGAAGATTAGAAGAGGAGAAACCTAGCTTGCTGTGGTATGTGCTGAGGGCAAGGGTGGGATGAGTTGTCAAGAAAGCTGTCTTTTCTTGAGATGGTTAGCATTGCCTCACAACTGATGAAAAGCAGGACCCTTGGAAATGCTGCATTTTCAGAGCAGCTCAATTTCCCACTTACTTCAAATTTTCTCAGAAGTATTTAACATCCTTGTATATTTAACAGGATGAGAACCATGGGGGTGTGGTGTGCCTTAGAGAACATCCAACCTCCCTGTTTGTAAAGGTTCAAGGGTTCTCATCTGTTTCTGAAAAGCTAGTACATCACAGTTATATATGTTTTTAAAAAATAGAGATCATGCTTTTTATAAAGCAAACCCGAGCAAACAGTGAATTTAAGCTCAATGATGTTAGAGGTCCAAACAAAAAGAAAAATGAATTTTGAAAGACTTTCAGATGTACCTCAGTTACAACAGTGGCTGGCAAATCTCTGCGCACCCTAGGTTCCACCAATGCCTTTGGGTGCACAGGTTGTACTACTGTGCTTGTACACTTTGGGGCTGTCTCAACTATCTTTTGATGTTCTTGTCCTTGGTCCACGATGGGTTCTTGGATTTTAGGGTCTTTGTTAACTTCAATTTGTTCTAGTACCACACAGGAAACTTCATCTGAAGGACCAGGCACTTCATGAATAACATGGTCTTTTCGATTAGAGCCCGTTGCCTCTTCCAAGGGTTTCTTCACATTCTCATTACTGCATTCTCTTTGTTCTGGAGAAGCCTGTTCTTCTTCGCTGTCACTGAGAAGAAATTCTGGAGCTACTTCAAATTCTTTGTCCATGGGATCTTGAAAGTACTTTGGATCTATCATAGAGCCTTGTCCAAATGTAGAACCTGAGGAAGGAAGCACAAAGGAGAGCATGAATATAATGGTAAATTATGCCAGCTTTATACAACAGGACAGTATGGATTAATTTTATGATTGAGAATGAGATGTGCCAGGTACTAGGAATCATTTGGATAACAGTAGTTTAAAAGCCATTCATATTTGAAAGTAAAAGACAAGTAAAGTATGTCTGAATTTCTGTCCACCTCCCAGTTTACACTGGGGCTTAAATCCAGCCCAGTTGTTAGTAACCTTCCATGGCAACATTCTGTGGGCTCTACTTCAGAATATTTGGTGTCCTATAATAATAAAGCTGAAATAAGTTACAACTCTGTAAGATGTTGCAATACACCTTTGCTTTAATAGCTGAGAAAAGACAATAATGAACAATTATGACATCATTTGGAAAATCCACTTGACATACTTCCTATATGACCTAGTAGTCTCAAAGTCAGGAATTTACCCAAGCAAACTTAAAGTTCCACAGAAAACTTTTGGGAAAATGTTTGTAGTAAGGTTATTCACAATCGGCAAAATCCTGACAGCAACCCAGATGTCCTTCTGCTGATGGATAGACTAAAATCCTGTAGTATATTCATAAAGTACAATAAAATGAAGTGGATCATTGTTTCCTCTTGTGACATGGAAAGTTTCAACTGTACATTTCTAAGTGAAAGAAGCCAGATGGAAAAGGCTTCACATTAGGAATAGGCATGAAACTCAGTGGTATTTTGCTTATGTAATGTGTGGTACTAGGGGGATCAGAATAAAATAGCTAAAAATTTCTCTTTTTTGTTCATTTTTCTCTGTACTGTTCTTTCAAATCAAATTATTTTATTTTTTGTGACAGGATCTCATGAATTCCAGGATGGCCTTGAACTCATTGTGTAGCCAAGAATGGCCTTGAACTCCTGGTCTTTCTACCTCTACCTTCTGAGTACTGCATTGAAATTTTCCTCTAAGTCCAAAATTATTTCAAAATGAAAAAAATACAAAATGTAAACATCAGAATCAGGCAGATTGACCCACAATGTGCCTCCCAACTCCTCTGTGCAACTTGAGGATGCACACCTCACCACAATGCTATGGATATAAGCAAATTGCCCGTCAACCATTATATTAGTTTTAGATTATCCATTTTAGTCATTTTGGAAAATTCTAGTTTCTTGATAGTTTCAGTGCTCAGAATTTCGACTAAACTCTTGTACAATCAACCACTTCCAAATGACTTTTGAACTTTAACAGTATATTTGCAATTTTCTGATACCAAATGAAGAAACTCAAATATCAGTAAGCCGTAGCAATAGACCCAGAAGTTTCTCAATTTCAACATTTGTTGCTAGATATCTTGATGTGCTCTTTTGACTGGAAAGGACAGCTGTGAGAGCTTATAAGAATTTGTCCACAGTTGGTTTAACAGTAATGAATATAATTCCTCAGAACAAACCTACAAGGTAAATCCAGACATGTAGGTTATGAGCAATCACTGCTCATGTAAATGTAAGAAATAGTCACACAGACACACAGACACACACAGACACACAGACACACACACACACACACACACACACACACACACACACACACACACACACACAAACACACCCCTGTACTGTTTTCAATGGATAGTTTGAAATAGAACTATGAAACTTACAGAAATAATGGAAGTATTATTACTAAAAACTATTTAAACATTAAAACTACATCTGGAACTGAAAAAATAGAATAAAAGATTAACCACAATACCTGAAAATTCCACAATACAAATTTCTACAATAATATGGTAAATGGATACCCGTCCTTTTCTCAAGTGTTGCAGTTTTTTTGTACAATTGTGTAATTAGTACTTTATTGAAACACATAAAAGGAACAGCAGTATTTTTGAGGGATTAACCTATTTGCCTCTCCTCCTATTAAAATTTCCTAGCAAAGCACATGCCTGTGTTTCTGTAATCCCAGCACTCAGGAGTAGAGGTAAAAGGATTGCGATGACTTCTAAGACAGGGTGAATTATACATCAAGACTCTGTCTCAAAACATCAACAAAAAACACTAAAAGCATGTTGCTGCAATAGACTAGACTACATGGACACAAACGACAAAACATTATTCCTTCAAAGACAGGTCTATCACAACATTTGTAGTATTAAAATAAAAAACAACTGAATAATACTAATTCAGCAGAAAGGAGGAAAGTCTGCAGATTTCTTGCTTGGATTTATAAAATGTGTAAGAGCCCTGATTGCTTGAATCTATGAGAAGATTCTTTCTTTTTTGCTCTGAAATCATCATCTGAAAAAATTCACAGAAAATGAGTAATGTTGGACTTGACATCTGTGATTTCACATCATTTTAAACCAGACACTATCTTTATTTTAAATCTTGAAACCACTTCAAATGTCATCCCATTTATTTAGTCCACATCCAAATAGCTGGTCGTACCTACCTGATGAAAACGATGCTGCTGAAAATTCTATGGATGAAGTGCTTGTTGTTGTGCTCTCGCTTGTATCTAGACTTATTATTGTGCATGTACTTGATTGAGATGGTGGCCTGATCTGAACTAATTCAAATGGAATTTGTCGAGTAGCCGGTTGAATATCTATAATCTCAACCTGAATTTCCAAAAGAAGATAACACATTTCACTAACCAGATAGAATAAGACACAAAAAAATGGAAACACAAGCAAGAACTCAAACTTATTTTTTTTTATAATTTTAAATATACTTCAATCAATTAAAAGCCATCACAACATCCCACATATATCCTTTAAAATATTGTTCTAAGGTACTAAGCTTCAACATCTTTTGGATAGTAGCCACTGGTGGGTTTTCCAGAATTCCTGCACACGCAAAGTATGCTTCAAGCAAGTGAAAGCCAAGTAAAAGATGATTAATGTTTTAGGTTGATTAAATGGGATGGTATCAGTAAGAGTATTTTGGCTGTAGTAAGGAATCCATTGCTGTCAGTTTCCCTTAGGCTGCTCATGTTTTAGTCAAATGCTAATTTTAACCACTCATGGATGCTCAACTTAGAATCAGGCTAATTACCAAGAAACTAGCCTTAAATAAAAAATTCTCTAAAATTAACATGCAATTTGGTGGGGACTGGAGAGATTTCTCAGTGCTCAAGCACACTGGCTGCTCTTCTAGAGGACTTGGGTTTGATTCCCACCAACCACATGGCGGCTCATGACCATATGTAAATGAGAGTTTTTGCTCTCTGTGGAAGCCCAGCATTGCAAGAGTGAACAGATCAGTCTGTTCTTCAGCACTGTAAGGGTATATAAAACAGGCTACCATCAGCTTAGAATGTACTAAAATTGAAAATTAAAAGAACTGTTTCTACAAATAATGTGTAGATGTGTGTGTATACATGTGTATGTGTAGGTGCTTGTGCACATGTGCACTTGTATTTGAAAGCTACATGACAAGCATAGGTGTCGAGTCTCTCACACTATCCAAGCAAGCCTTGATAAACTTGTATTTGTGACAAGGTCTCACTTTTTAGGCCAGGTTCTATTGGAACTCACTATGTAGCACAATCTGGCCTGAAATTTGTAGCCATCCTCCTACCTCATTGCCCCAATTTCTAACCTTACAGACATAAGTCAAGATGCCCAACTTTCAAACTTTCTTTACAAAATGCAAAATATAAACATTTTCTATGACGTCCGAAAAGGAGTTTAGCTTGACTGTTTTTCTAAGATATCACAGGGACTATTCTAAGGATGGCCATTTCTTACGGAAAGAAAAGAAAAACATACTATAGGACACTGCCATGCTCACAAGACAGTTACTAAAATGAAAGTCTTTCTATGTTGGCAACACATATTAACTAAATAATAGAATTACAAGGATAAAGGCCGAGGGTTCTACTTAATGTCTGTCAATGTACATACTTCGTTAACTGATACAGGATGCTTTGTTTTCAAATATTTAGCCTTGCGATTCCTTTGAATTCCCTTCCTCTTGCGTCGTTTTCGAAGCCTTAATATAAAATCATAAAGAAATCATTATCAAAATGTGTTTTGTGTACTGGCCAGGAAGCTTCCTCTCTGCTGGCTAGCTTTCCTAGTACTGGAAGGGTTATACAGGCTGATGGAGGAAAAAGGCATCAATGGTCTTACCAGCTGTGAACATTGTGATCAACAATAATGATTGGCATGGCAAGATATGCACATGTTTGCAATAGTGGCATGAATGCTATGGGGACAAACAACCCATTTCGGAATGGATTGAAGGACCCACCACAGGAGGAAGAACAGATGACTAGCACCATAAATCTGACAAAAGGACACAAGGCTGAGAAGCTCACCAGCTGCAAGGGTCAATCAACTTGCCACTATTGTGCTAAATAACATAGTATCAAACTGTCCTCTAAATTAATATCTTTATGTCCATGGATTAGTATAGCTCTTGGAACTCATCAAAGAAGTTTCTTTGTGCAGTATTCAGTGGTTAACATAGAAACTCACAACTGGTCAAAGTGCAGAGAATAAGTGTTACTGCAGTGTTTAGTCCTACATGGTAAATCTATGATCCCCTGCCACACAAGGTTTAGGGACTATTGCAGAAGATAGGGCAAGAAGACTGTAAGACCAGAGATCAAGGATGAAACAGTGTCATCTTGACCATGACAGGATCACTGCACTCATAAACTCACGGCAGTGGTATGGCCTGCATGAGATCTATGTAAGATCAGGTCAGTCAACATTCCAGAATGGAGTGGGGAGGGGCTCATAAGCCTCTATCCCTAATTTGGGAAGCTGTTGACAGTTGTGTTTTCTGGGGAAGGAAGCATCAATTTTACTTAAGAGTATGACCATTGGTAGGCTGAACAAGTTTTAGTGGATGGCCCCAAATCCATGAGTATGTAGCCAGCACAAATCAGACTCAGTGGAATATGTAAAAAAAAGAGGCCAAGAAGTTGGAAGGGGTAGGGATGGAATGTGAAAGAATGAATCTAGGAAGAATTAGAAAGAGAAGCTGGAGGTGAGTATTATCTAAATATATCGTGTGAAATTCTCAAAGAATTAATAAGGATACTATATTAAAAATCTGTTTATATACTGATAGATAAGTATGGAAATGTCATAGTGCAAACCCATTACTTTGTATGCATAACTTTAAAATGTACTGTGTCTTAGGATTAGAAGTGTGATTCAATGGAAGAACATTTAGCCAATATGTGTAAAAGCCTGGTTATCCCTAACATTCTAAAACACACAGACACAAAAAAAAGGGTTTAGTTTGAGAGGCCAAACAACAGAAAAATTCCATCACTCCAAAATATAAGAGGATGAATTATGTTAATAAATATGACTTTAAAAAAAAACAGCCTGGGCTACCAAGTGAGTTCCAGGAAAGGCGCAAAGCTACACAGAGAAACCCTGTCTCGAAAAACCAAAAAAAAAACAAAAAACAAAAAAAAAAAAAACAAAATAACCTAACAGTAAATGCAGTAAATGACACCTTGGAAATTCTGAGTGCATTCAGAGGAGATAAAATAGAAAAAAAAAAAGCCAGTTAATGAGTTATTGGATGATTTTCCATATATGACTTGGACATAAAATGTTTATAATTACTGGGTTTTTTTTTTTTTTTGGTTTTTTGAGACAGGATTTCTCTGTGTAGCTTTGGAGCCCTTCCTGGAACTCACTCTGCAGCCCAGGCTGGCTTCGAACTCACAGAGATCCACCTGCCTCTGCCTCCCAAGTGCTGGGATTAAAGGCAAGCACCACCACGCCCAGCTAATAATTACTCTTACTGGTTTGATTTCCAGTGTGAAGTACTTTAAACATAAACAATGTCATGTATTATTTATAATATCTAAATACTTAAAGAAAATTCTCTGTGTGTATGTGAGAGAGATGTGTGTGTGTGTGTGTGTGTGTGTGTGTGTGTGTGTGTGTGTGTGTGTATGTGCGTACATATATATACACACATACATGTTGATTTTCTTTTGGAGGCAGGATCTCAATGTATCCCAGACTAGCCTTAAACTCAGTATGTTACCAAAGAATACCTTACCATTGTAATCTGGGCATGGGAGGGATGACTCAGCAGTTAAGAATACTGGCTGCTCTTTCAGAGGGCTGGGGGTTCATTTCCCAGCACCCATGTGGCAGCTCACAACTGTCTGTAATTCCACTTTCCTGGTATCTCACACCTCACTCTGGCCTCCATGGCACTGCATACATGTGGTGCACAGACATACTGCAGGCAAAGCACCAGACACATATTTTTTTTAAATTGATCTGTCTGCTCCCACCTCTGGAATCTGATATTATAGGCATGTACTACTAACTACTCCAGGTCTGTGCTTTATCAACTGAACTTTTTTCCCAGCCCCAGAGCTTTTTTTACATCAAATTTACATTTCATACAATTCAATTAAAGCTTTTAATTCAATGATTTTGGGCACATTCAGATCATACAATTATGGGAGTAATTTTAGTTCCCTTGAGGGTTTTAGTCCTTTTGTCTTTACATATTTATTTATATGCTGGTGACTGAACTCAGGACTTTGCAGTTCCTGGGCAAACCTCTAAGATAAATCCCCAACCCCTAGAGAATTTAAGAACATTTTCTTATGTAAGGAGAAAAAAAACTATACTGTTCTAGCAGTCATTCCCCTCTATCCCCATCCACATACAACACCTGGCCAAAGGCAACCACTTACCCACTTTCAGTCTCTGTAGAATTCTCATTGTGACTTTACAGATGAGTGGAATTTAAAAGTCTGTCTTGGCTGACTTCTTGGCCAGCTTCAGGGGCTTCTGGTTGCAAGCCCAACAGACAATTGTACTAGACCCAAACTCCTCCCATCCCTCATTTTAAACCAATCATTGAAGACTGAAAACTTCAAGCCTTCCCCAACTTTTTCTCAACTGGGTGTCTTAGCTGTAGAGTATTGTTACTTTTTATCTATCTGTTCTCATCTGTGAATTTTTTAAGGTAGTAAACAGCCTGGTACCTCTGGGTCTCCCAAGTACTTCAGATGTTAATCTTTCTTCTTAAAATGACTTAGCTTGGCAAAACTGTTTTAAAGGGTAAGCTTAGGGTTTTCTTAAATTCTTAAAGCAACTTTTTGCCTTCAAATTATCTTGTAGGCTGTACACAGTGGCCCACACCTTTAATCATAGCAATTGGGAGGCAGAGGCAGGTAGATATCTGTGAGTTCTATGCCAGCCAGGTCTACATAGTGAGGTCTAGTATTCCTTTTATCCCAGCACTCCAGAGTCAGAGCCAGGCAGATTTCTTTGAGTGCGAGACCAGCCTGGTCTACAGAGTAAGTTCCAGGACAGGCTCCAAAACTGCATAGGGAAATCCTGTCTGGAAAAATCAAAATAAATAAATAAATAAATTGAAAATAAAAAGGCAATTATATGTATTCTGTGGGAAAACTATGAATTATATTAAATGATGAGTTAGGTTCATACCAACAAATTGCTCATTTTAGATTTATTAAAATCCTTAGATGATCTTTTAATTGCTTTGATTTTAATTACTTACAGCCATGATATGTCTTACCTGCGGTGCTGTATATCAGAGTCATCATCCGATTCAATAACTATAACAGTGGGTTGAATTTCAACAGGATTTTTCTGAAGAACAATTAGCATATTGGTTTCCATTGTTGTCACCATCATTTTGGCATTTATTTGAGTCAAATCTATATAGCCTTGTGCAGAGTAGAGCTACACCCTCTCCCAGCCCCCTAATTGTCATTTAAATGTATCTGTATACAAAATATTACCTGATACTTATCACATATATTACATATTCAAGATACAACTGATCCATATGGTAGTGTGAGGAAGACACTGGGTTTACAGGTATGAAAACAAGGTATACACATACAATGGTTTAGCCCAACACTAATAGATCCAGAAGATGAATTTCACTTCGACTCAAGTTCTCACTGTTTTATACCATCATACTGTACAGACTGTTTGGAACACTATCCCTCTGTTCTCTTCAGATATGTATTCCAAAATATCCACTGATATAGAAACAATATCCTAGAGGCCCAGAAAGAAAAACTGGAGGAAATCACAAAAAACTTCCTGGTGTCATGATGGAGACTAGTGGAATATGGGTGAACCAAGAAAGATTTGTTTTCTCTTTCTCAAAAAAGCAATAGACCTTGAGGCTGAGTCCTACATATTAGAAGACGGTATTCTCATGGCAGATAATGGAATTCAGGTCCTAGAGGGTTAGTACAAAGGAAGAATGAATGAGGCAATCAAATCAGACCAACTTCCTTCAGTTTTCCCCTCTATACCACTTTCCTTACTATCTTCAATATAGAGAAGTGGTTTATTCTAAAATTGAATGTAGGAACCATCTACTCTGCCATCACAATAGGAACATGGTCCATAGGCCAAATGGAGTTCCTCATCTGGGCCACCAATACTGCACAGTCTACAATTTTCTAGTCCTGTCTGTATCTGCTGATAGTGCCTCCATTCATCCCAAATCCTGGAATTTACACCCCCATGACTACAATCATTCCCACCTACCATCCACATCTGGTTAGCTCCATTCTTGTTTCTTTATGCTTCACGTTTTACCTATAAAGCAGCCTGGTGTTTTCAGTCCATATCATATTACCCCTCTGCGTTCTAGTGTATTTAGCATAAATTCCATATGCATTAGTACAGATAGTGAAGTTCTGTACACTCTGTCCCCTGCCTGCCTCCGCTATCCCCTTACCGTTTTCCCCTTATTTGAGTCACATAACCATTTTTTTCCTTCAAACTCTCCAAAGTAGGGCCAAGGCACTCTCTACAGATTGCCTTTTTTTTAAATCTTTCTTGGCGTCCTGTACTCCAAACATAAATCACCAGAGATACCCTACCAACTCTCATCCCTATGACATTTTTCATCAATGCTTTGTTTATTGTCTGACTCTATGTATTCCCCTGACACTTAACACAACATCTGGGACATGAAAAGTGTCCCATGTTATTGAAAGAATAAACTAAAGAATTTCAACCTATCACTTGGATTCTAAAATCTATCTTTTCCTTTGAGAGGTAAAAAACCTTTACAATCAACTACCTAAGAGGAAAAAACAGAGCTTCTGTTACATGGAAATTCACTTACTAACAGAAACATAAAAGTTGTTCTTTCTGTACTGAGTATTGAATGTTTGTGCACTGATGTCCAGAGGCTGAAAGTGAAAATGATGTGCCCTTCAAAGTGTGAGAAACAGACAGCATACTCACTGATTCAGGCTTTGTACAAAGAACTGAAATGGTTCCCACAAGATAGTACTGCTGATCCCATAACATTGTTGGAGTTGATGATTGAATGCTTCTGCTATTTGGACCATAGTTTCCAAAAAATGCAAATGACTCTAAGGTTGATAGACACAATGGTAATTAAATTAAAATACATACTAGATAAACAAGGATGCAGACAACTGCTACATCACAATGCTATTTATCATCCCTTTGGCATTTTTCAAGATTCTGAGCCATTCTGAGCTCCCTAGATGGTCACCACCAAAATATGAGACACTCATACTGAAAATCAAACGTGAATTTGAGCTGATGTCTATCTTTTGCTGTTGCCCTATGTATTGTGGTAGTCTCTGAAAGAAATATGGTGTGTGTGTGTGTGTTTGTGTGTGTGTGTGTGTGGGTGTGTGTGTGGGGGTGTGTGTGTATGTGTGTGGGTGTGTGGGTGTGTTTGTGTAAGTATAAATGTACATGCACTATCCAAGTGTTTTTTTAAGGATACTTCAACTTTAACTTCCAAGGAACATGAGAAATGTCTTAACAAGCATTTGGATACTGAAAGCATAAAGCATAGTATACCTCTGATTACGTTAGATGTTTTATGGCTCTAAAGCAGTTAATTTTAATTATGTATGTTGATTTATCAGCTTATACTTCCTTAAATCTCAAAAATTATACACTAGACCCTATAGTACACAATACACAATTGACAAACTTCTTTTCCTATATTAGTGTACAGAACTTTAGTGTTTATATTTTATATATTTGTCTTTGGTAGGATGTTAGAACTTTAGACCCCAGTTAATCCAATCTGTGGTATGATTTATAAACTACAAAATCCATTTGTAAGTTGGGTATTCATGGGGTTCCCTTTAAGCTTGGCAGTGCATTAAACTTTAGGAATAGATTTTACATTTTATTTTGTTTTGTAAGAGGAGAAAGCCATTCTTTATCAATCTAATCCACCATGTTTCTCTAAGACTCCAACTTATAAATTTTTCTATTATTTTTCAATGCCTAATAGGTATAGCCAGAAATTGTCAGTGTAGGGGTATTAAAGATTTTGTAAATACTAATAATACAAGAACAAGTATGCTACTAATTAGGAATACACCACTCTTGAACATTATTTAAAAATCATGGACTGGGGCTGGGTTGCTTACCGTCATAAGAATCCTGCAGGTACAAGATGAATTTTACATACTCATATGTGTCCCTGCCTTTGTACATGTTCCTGTAACCATATGTATCCAGAGCATCCCTGCTGGCATTTCCTTTTCTTACATAGCAGCAAAATTCAATAAGGTTGCCAACTAAAGAGAGCAAGAAACAAATAAAGTTGTATGGTCAGAGGGATTATTTCAGTCAATGAAAGTCTTCTTTAGTCAAAACATTTTTTTGTTGGGGGAGGGTTTCTCCATCTAGACCTGGCTGTCCTCAGACTCTCTCTGTAGACCAGGCTGGCCTTGAATTCTCTGAGATCTGTTTCTGCCTCCTGAGTACTGGGATTAAAGGTGTGCACCACCACACCCTGCACAGGACAACATTTTAAAGAACACAATTTTTTTTCCATGAATGATGGTACTCATAGGGCTATCATCTGTAGAATAGGGTACCACTCAGAATATAACACACTGGTATTTATATAGCACTGCTGCAATGTGGTGATATTTTATTTGTGCTGAAATTTGGTGATATTTTAATCATATGTTAATAAATAATGTTTGCCTGAGATCAGAGTTCATAGCCAGCCATAAATAAAAGTCAGGCATGGCAGGCAGAGTCTCTGTGAGTTCAAGGACACAGCCGAGTGTGGTGACACACTCCTTTAATCCCAGTGCCAACCATAGAGACCTAGAGGTCTGTACAGACAGGCAGTGAGGAGAAAGTGAGGTAGCTGGGCTAAGAGCCAATGAGAAGGCAGAACAATAAGGCAATAAAGGCTCAGGTTAGACAGAAAGAAGCAGGTTCTCTTGGGTAGCTACAGTGGCATAGTGAGCTAAGTTTAGTTGGTGGCTATTCCTATTTCTCTGATCTCTATGGCTTTCACCCCTGTATTTGGCTCTGTGTATCTTATTTAATAAGACTTTTTAGAAATTTGTCTACACTGCAATTAGAGAAATACTGCTGTAATCAGGGTTTAGGGTAAAGAAAAAGACAGGGCTGGGGATGACTTTTCAATAAAGAATTTTTTATTAGTTCTTTGAGAATTTCATATATGCATATGGTATATTTTGATCATGTTCATATCCCACTCCCACCAGCTCCTCCTAGAACCAGCTCCACATCCCCACTAATTCCTTTCCATCTTTGTGCCCCCAAAAACCATACAATTCCAATTTGTGCTGTTCATACACTTCTGAATGCAAACATTCACTACAGAAGTGGTCCTTAACACATGGGCTGTAACTCCTTTGGGGGACAAATGACCCTTTCACGGGGGTCATCTAAGACCATCAGAAAATACAGACATTTATAATACAATTCATAAACAGTAGCAAAATTAGAGTTATGAAGTAGCAATGAAAATAATTTTATAGTTGGGGTCACCATGACATGAGCAAATGTATTAAAGGGTCACAGAATTAGGAAGATTGAGATCTACTGTATTTGATCATGGTCAGCCTGCCAGGGGCCATATCCTTGAAGAAAATCCCCTTATCTCTCCAAGTATGCATCAACTGTCATTAGCTCCTCATCTGAGGAAGAGGGTGCATGAGCTCCTCCCCACTCCCCCACAGGAGAGAATTTTTTTTAAATGTTAGAAATGAAGTGTTTGATATGATAAGCTATAATCTTAAATGAATATATGATCAGCAGCTACAGTGACTAATAATTTTTTCAAAAAATTACTGTGTTAAAAGAGCAAGAAATTATTCAGCTGAGTGTTACTTGTCACTCAAAACCTCAAAATTAAATCAAAACAAAATAAAACCATGTAAACATACCTGACTTTGCCAAAGGAAGATTAAGAATGACCTTCTGAGATATTTCTTCTTTTTCCTCATCAAGAAGAATATTTAATAAAGTCTTCCCCACAATATCTTCCTGGAGAGAAAGAGAGAGAACAGATTTTGCTTTCTATACAAATACTATTAGTCTGTCCTGTCTCCTTATCACCAGTGACTTTAGCTCTACCCTTGACCATTTATGGCTGTACGTACTGTACTTCAGTCATTTTTTATTACCCTCCAGCAGTTATTCCTTGCTACAATCTATTCTGGATACAGTTTTTCTGTACATTATTTCCCTCAAACAGTTGAAGTCTTCCCTAGCCATCTCAGAGATGACTGACGTTGTAATTATCAGCATGTGTTCTTTCCCTCTGTGCTATGTGCCTGGAAAAATCTCAGCTCCTTGTCCATAGTGTCCAAGAAACTGAATGTGAATGGGAAACCCCCACACTTTCTCACTCTTCAATGTGAATCCTTTCTCTTTTGTACCTTCTTCACACTTGGGTCCAAAGCCCTCTCTACATTTTAATTTGGCCTTGTTCATTTTGGTGGGGAAAGCTCAATCCCCAGTACCATAAAGAAATACTTATTTTTTCAATAAAAAATATTTTCATTTTTATAAATATACAATTCAAATACCCAAACTAATTTATCTCTGATTAATCTGGACTTTCATTGATTTTCACATCCAACAAATGATTAAACAATTACCTCACAGACACTGTCTAAATATATACACACACTGCAGCTTCATTATTCCCTGCAAGATGTAGAATTATTTTCCATTTTACTCATGATTATTGTTCTTTTTATTGCACCACAACTGTCTCAAATTCAACTTTTACTTATCCTACTAAATGTGCTATGGAACATTCTTACTTATAGACATTACATATGAAGTAATTAATGTTTCTGCAGAGAGTAAACATTACCGAGGATGAACATTACATGAATTATAATTTTCAGGAGTACAATAAGAATAAAGTATGTCTATGCATACAAAATGTGCTAATGAGCTAGAAGTAGATTTATACTTGTAATCGAAGGACTCAGGACACTAAGGCCAGTGGTGGGAGTGCAAACTTGTATAGTTACTTTGGAAATCAGTATGGTGGTTTCTCAGAAAATTGGGAATCAACTTTCCTCAATACCTAGCTATACCACTCTTGGGCATATCCCCAAGGAATGCTCAATCATCACAAGGACACTTGCTCAACTATTTTCATAGCAGCATTATTCATAATAGCCAGAACATGGAAACAACCTAGATGCCCCTCAACCAAAGAATGGATAAATAAAATGTGGTACATATGCACAATGAAGTACTACTCAGCAGTAAAAATCAATGACACCATGAAATTTGCAGGCAAATGGATGGAACTAAAAAATATCATGCTGAGAGAGGTAACCCAGACTCAGAAGGTATGTACTCACTCATAAGTGGATATTAGATGCAAAGCAAAGTATAACCAGACTGTATGTTAACTATTTAAACTTACAAAAAAAATGAGAATTTCTAAATGATATGCACAACAAATATGATGTGAAATATAAAACAAGTGGTGTCGCTTACACTTGCATTAGTAGAAGAAATGGGGATATCATCATAAAAAAATCAGAGAGCTGGAGATTAACTCAGTAGGAGTTATACTCACCTAGCATGGACAAGGCCTTGCTTTCAATTCAATTGCTGTTAACACACACACACACACACACACACACACACACACACACACACACACACACACACACACAAATCCCTGCTAGATACGTGCTGGTTAATACCTGTAACCCCAGCATTTTAGAGGCAAGGTAGAATGATCATCATGAGTTCAAGGCCAACCTGGGCTGCAATAAGAGTTATGATCAATCACCAACTAAAACAGTGGACATTAGCAATCATACCATTGACCCATGTGCAAGTGTGTGCATACAAATACACGGAAATCGGGAGGAGAGTGAGGAAGGGGGGGAGAATAAAGAGACAAAGACTAGAATCATCTTATTTTTTCTATCTCTGGCACTCAGTCTTCTCATTACACAGGGAAGAAAGTTCAAGGTACTTAACGTTTATGAAGCAAGAAATAACAGCAAAATAAATGAAAAGGTTTTTAAAAGAGAAATTTGAATAGCTATTTCAACACATTCTGTTTAACATTTTTGTCTCAGTCATTCCACAAGAAGAAAGGAATTTATCCTGCTCAGTGTTATTTGCTGAGAATCTTGGCAAGAAACATGTTTTCTTTTCATAGTACACATACATCAGAAAAGCAAATAAGGGCCAGGGAGGGTAAGAATCTCTGCAGAAGCCCCAGGTTGGAAATAGAGGCCAATCTTCTTCAATGCCATGAGCTCCTGTCGCCAAACTTCTAAAGCCTGAGAAACTCTTCCCATGATGAACTTTATGTATGGAAAAGTCTGTTTGCTTAAGGATTACCCAGGAGAATGACTCTGTGTAACTTCTCAGATTTTAATTGATTATGAAAAATGTATAACAATTAGATTTAGTGAAAAGGCACATAAAATAATAAAATAGTGCTTCAGGTATACTTTCTCGACCCTATGTGATAAACATAACACAATTTCATTCCCTTTTAGTGTTTATATAAAAATATTTTTATTTATGCATTTTAGACATTGTCTCATGAATCTCAAGCTGGTCTCAAATTCATAGCATAGACATAAATGACTAAAATTCTCACCTTCCAGCCTTCATCTCCCAGTTTATGTGGTGCTGGGATCAAAACCAGAGCCTTGTGTATGGTGGGCAAGCACTGTACTAACTAAGCTGAATTCTCAGTTTTATACTGTTATTTTTATTCATGTAAGTCTCAGGTAATCAAGTACATATTCTTTAAGGCCTCTCCTTCAAAACACATATGCACACACATGCTACATAAGGTATGTGTACCTTATGTAGCATGTGTGTGCATATGTGTATGCATATGTGTGTGTGTGCATGTGCGTATATGTGTGTGCATGCATGTGCATATGTGTGTGTAAGTGTTTTACCACATATGGTAAAGGGCATAAAATTTCTGGACAAATTACCTAAAACAATCAGAATAATATTATAGCTAGCACTCTCGGTATAAGAAATCCTCATATAGTAGGAAGAAGTAACTAATTTCAGCTAATCATGAATTTCATTTAATTAATTAGGAAAAAAGTGAACAATATTGGAGTTTGCTGTAGAATAGTTTCTAATCTACTTTCGATATAACTCTAGTATATCTGCTAAACTTTATTGATTCCCATGCTTCAAGCCCAAGTGCTATAGCTCTCTGGTTCATAAAGCAACTTTGTGTAATGTGGAATAAACTGTGAAAACCACTCAGATATGAGTAACAACACCACCAAATGATGCAGACTTTATTGAGGAAGATTGTTCCATTACCTTTTCTTATCCTTTCTCATTCTCACTGACCCTTTTCCTCCTTGCAGCTAACCCCTTCCAATTCTTTTATCACATCTTGGAGGGGGGAATCTCATGAAACCCTACCTCTCCCTGGGAATTTACAGGTAGTTAACAGTAATTAAAGGCCCTATTCCTCCCTGATGGTTTACAGATAGTTAACAGTAGCTAAGGGGAGGAACTTCATGAGACACTACCTCTCTCCCTGAGAATTAGTAAACAGTTAGCAGTAGCTAAAAAAATATTTAAAAATTAAAAATGAACCTTAAAACATTCATAGTATGTATAACAACTTAGTAGTTATCATATATTTTACAAAAAGGGAGGTAGGCAGGAGAGATAGATTGGCTATTAAAAGCACTTGTTACTCTTGTATAGGACCTGGATTCAGTTTCTGGCACCCACATAACAGCTCACAACTGTCTGAGATTAGAATAATAAGGGACCAATGCCCTCTTCTGTCCTCCACAGTAACCAGGCATAGATTTGGTGCAGACATACATTCAGGCAAAATGTTTATACACATAAAAATAAAGAAATATATCTAAGATTTTTAAAATAAATTAAGTGAGAAATTAAGATACAGAAAAATTAGACCTACGATAGATGCCATAATTAAATGGGCATAGTTGGACATCAATGAATTATATAAAGCAAAAATGAAAACCCCACAAACAGCAAACCAGAATGACCCTTTTCCCCAAAAGCTGGAAAAACTTACTGGTCGATGGCCAAGAAGAGGTGATACATTCTGTGATATAAAAACAATTTTTCCATCTATGTTCAGTACAATTGAAATGCTTTCAAATGACTAGTAAAGAGAATAATAACATAATCAAATAGTGCAACAATAATAAAATGATAGCTTTATGTATACATTTATAAATAATTCTAACAGAATACTGAAAATGTATATTACTTACATATCTATAAAGTAGGCATGTACTTAATTAAAAAATCTGTTATTCTGCCTCCTACACAGAATCTACTTAACCTTCAGCATGAGATATTTATCAAATGACGTGTCACTTAGACAAACAAATATCAATGTACACACAACTAACACTAAACTCTCTAGCACAAGCTAGGAAGGTTCAATTCTGTGTCTAGATTGTCACAATTTAAGCATATTTAATTTTTTAATGCTAGGAATTTTTAAGGGCACTTTCATTTGTGCTTATTCTAGCTATCTACTTATAAAGATGGTTACTGCCATCACTTTTCTTCTGTGTAGTGGATTTAATAGGCAGACAAATACTTCCTGGTAAATAACATTTAAAATGATTTTTTAAATCTATAAAAATGTTTTCATGCTTGATTCTATAAATTTCATTAGGGCTGCTTATAGGAGTATGGATGAAGCGTTCCGTATAGGTGTTTGAGTACATTTTCAGTGGCTACAGCCAGAATAAAATGTCTTTTGTTCCCTTAGCAACTATTAATTGCATAGAGACCCTTAGGAAGAGCTGAGGACTCATGATCTGCTTTCCTGTTAACTATTAATTCTCAGGGTAGAGTGTGGTGTCATGAAATCCTTTTCCTCCAAGTTATGATAGTAGAAGGGTAGAATGGCTGGGAGGAGGAAAGGGATCAGTGAGAAGGGGAAGGAACAATAGAGGGTAATGGGATGCAAATTTGATCAAAATAATTATATAAATGTATGAAAATGTCATAGTGAAACTGACTATTACATGCAATTCGTGTATTCTAATAAAATAATGAACTTAATTTCAATACTAGGACCAAGCTCATAGTAAAGTAACGGAAACAACATATCACAGACTAACATGAATGTAGGCACTAGAACATAAAGGAATGTTAGAGACTTGGGAAACCTATTCATCACAGATGACTTAGAGATTGGGATTAAAGCAAAGGTGTGTTAACAGATAGTACAAGAAGTCAGAAACCATGATGTGAAGCCAAGTTTCCAAAAAGGTGACATCTAGAACATGGGAAATGCCAAAAGATTGTACAAAGGAGATGTGGACATGTGTGGGCCTGCCTCAGTTTCAATTCTAAGAAGAGGGCAACTAAAGATGGGCTGCCTCAGGAAGTACTAACCAGATGTCCACATTCACTTCAATAGAGCTACCTACAATCCAGATACTGCATGTGTGATCTTTAACAACTCCAATCTAATATGTCACTCGAAGCAGTCCTTAGCCCTGTTCTGCAATAAAATGATTATTTTAAGAAACAGGCTTACAGACTTCATGCAGACAGATAGTTACAAATAAAAGATCTCATGGTAAAAACAAAATGACAAACACAGGGAAGGGCAATCTATCATAAAGGAAGAGTGTATAGAAAGAGTAAAATGTAGAATGAAATAAAAAAATGGAGTTTTAAGACATGAAAAGAGTGCTGGATGTAGGAACATAGATAACAAGGATTTTAAAAAATTGAGTGAACCCGAGACTCTAAACAGATCAGAGATGTGAACATAAGCAAAGGGTCTTCAAATGAAATTATCATAAAAATATCAATTCAGGGGCTGAGATTATAGTTAAGTGGCAAAACAATTCCTTTCCATGTATGGGGCCCTGGGTTCTATCTTCAGCATAAAGGGAAAGAAAACATCAAAGTAGAGGTTAAATTTCACGGTAAAACACAACTGGATAGCTTGGGCATGTGGTTATGTTGGTAGAGTACTTGCCAGATGCTCAAGACCCTGGTACCCAAGCCCAGTAACAAAAATCAAAGCAAACGCAAGTGGAAAGGAACTAGAACTGAGGACAAGACTCTGTCTACAAGCTTTGAGAAGATTATGAAGAAATGTGAATCCCTGTGTATTGTCACTGAGAGGTTAAAATGAAGAAGCTGTAGAAAACTGTATGGCCAGTCCTCAAAATATTAGAGGACACCATAGACTCTAGTGTTTCTACTTCTGGACAAACAGAAGAAAGAGTTGAAAGCAGTGCCTCAAATGGCTATGTTCATCCTCATTCTCAGTAGCATTATTCACAAAGACCAAAAGATGGAAGCAATCTGGTATGGTTTGGATATTGTGTCCCCCAATATATTGTGCACATTAATAAACTTATCTGGAGTCAGAGAACAGAACATCCATTAGACAGACATAGAGGCCAGAAAATGGTGGCATACAGACCTTTAATCCTAGCATTCTAGAGGCAGAGATCCATCCAGATCTCTGTGAGTTCAGAGCCACACTGGAAATAGCCAGGCATGGTGACACACGCCTTTAATCCCAGGAAGTGACACCAGGAAGCAGAAAGGTATAAAAGGTGTGAAAACCAGGAACTAGAGTCTGTTAAGCTTTTAGGCTTTTGAACAGCAGTTCAGCTGAGATCCATTCAGATGAGGAAACAGAGGCTTCCAGTCTGAGGAAATGAAATCAGCTGAGGAATTGGCAAGGTGAGGTTAGCTGTGGCTGGTTCTGTTTCTCTGATCTTTCAGCATTCACCCCAATACCTGGCTCTGGGTTTGTTTTTATTAGTAAGAGCTTTGAAGATTCATGCTACAGGATATGGTCAATCCTCCAAGCATTCATGTATTAGAAGCTTGGACCTCATTGTACAATGGGAGAGCTGATAAAGTCTTTAAGAGGAGAGTAGTGTGAGGACACTGAGGAAACTGCCTTCCTTAGTACTTGAGTTCTTATGAGACTGTGGTTGATTCCTAACAGGTGTTTGTTACAGAAGAAGACTGATGATTCCTCCCCACAATCTGGCTTTCTGTCTTACACTATGATTGTTCCCTCTCATACGTGAAGCCAGTTCCACTGTGAAGCCATCTCACAAGTGATTCAGCCAAGAGGCCATTCAAAGAGGACACAGTTTTCAACTTGCAGCTAAATAAGCCTCATTTCTTAGAAGACAGCTATGCTCACCACTACACTACCAATGCAACATCAAGCTTCTTGTCTTTATATACTTCAACTCAACTATTTGATTTAGCTACAGAGAAGTATTAACACATATTTCAAGCAACTGACAGATAAAAGGCTCTGCAAAATATCATATGACATGTAAGTGACTATTATTCAGCCTTCAGAGAGAATTCTGTCACCAGCTACAGCATGAATGGATCACATAAATATTTTAGTGAGAGAAATAAACCACTCAGGAAAAGAAGAATGTAAGGTTCTATTTTATGACATAAATAAATCTCTAAAATAATCAAATTTATAAAGAGACAGAATGGAAGTGAAGAGCAAAATGTAAAGATACAATAGAGCCTTAAAAAAGAAAGTAAAAAAATCAATTCTTTGAAAAGAACAATACTGGTAATAAACCTCTGATGAAGTGATTTGCAAAGTGAAAAGCACAATCTTCTTAAAAATATTTTTGTTTTATATGTATGAGTGGTTTGTTCCTGCATTTATGTCTGTGTACCACGTGTGTGTATGGTGCCCAAAGAGGCCAGAAGACAGTGTCAGAGCCCCTGAAACTGGAGTTACAGATAGTTATGAGCTGTCATGTGGGTGCTAGGAATCAAACTCAGATCCCCTGTAAGAGTAGCCAGTGCTCTTAACTGCTGATCTGTCTTTCTAGGCCCACAAACAATCTTAAGAACAACAAGTAGGTATCATAAAGAAGCTTCAGCCATAACAAACATAACTAGAAAATATTATCATCAATTTTATGCCAGTAAAATTGAAAGTGATGGGATTGGTAAATTCTTAGGAAATATAATTTACCAAAGATGGCTCATGAAAAGTAGAAAATTTGAATCATAACATAATCATTAAAGAACTGAACCATTAGATTCAAATATTCTATTAACTTATGTGGTTTGAAACTGGTCTGAGTGAATCATTAGCCAAGGATTCATGTGAGAGGAGATATTTGTAGCATATAACTAACAACTGACAAGTCCCAGAATCATTATGTGTTAGTGAAAACTTTCCTGTTACTTTTATTGTTGTCAGGGTATCGAATCCAGGATTCTGCATATGCGAGGTAAATCTTGTGAGTGAACTACACCCCTAGCCTCAATTGAAATATAAAAAAAAACCTCCACTTTTTTTCATGAGTCAAAATAATGAAGGAAAGTTATTAACATCTGTCAGAAGCATACATCACAATGTTCAAGTTTGCATTATAAAACTATTGACAGATTTCAAACGACATATTTTGAGGCTTCTTAATACAAATTTCAGTATATAAACCAAAATTTCTTCTTTTTTTTTTTGGTTTTTCGAGACAGGGTTTCTCTGTGTAGCTTTGCGCCTTTCCTGGAACTCACTTGGTAGCCCAGGCTGGCCTTGAACTCACAGAGATCCGCCTGGCTCTGCCTCCCGAGTGCTGGGATTAAAGGCGTGCGCCACCACCGCCCGGCCAAAATTTCTTCTTAATAAAAGTGCTTGAAAGGACATAAAATGTCCCTATGTGGCTTAGGTTTCATCTAAGAACATATATTGTTATAACACTTGTTGTACTATTTGAAAGAATATGCTCTTGCAGCTACACTTTGAAAAGTGCTGTAGTAGCCAGGCGGTGGTGGTGCATGCCTTTAATCCCAGCACTCGGGAGGCAGAGGCAGGCGGATCTCTGTGAGTTCGAGGCCAGCCTGGGCTACAGAGTGAGTTCCAGGAAAGATACAAAGCTACACAGAGAAACCCTGTCTTGAAAAACCAATAAAATAAAAGAAAAGAAAAGAAAAAAAAAGAAAAGTGCTGTAGTGCATCTTGCATTGTATGTGATTCACATGTAAAGTAAGCAACGAACAAAAACACCCTTACCCGAAGAACTGTCTTATGAAATTCTTCATAGGTTTTGAAGACAGGAACTTCATTTTGGCCAAAGTTTTTTCTCATATTTAATACTCCTTTTCAGAAAAAAAAGGAGAGGTGTTATATTAAGATAATTAGCAGTCAATGTTATATTCCTCAAACTTATAATTTAGGAAAATATTTTGTTATTTTGTGAATGTATGTTGGGGGCGAGTTCCATAGCTCATATGCAGAGATCAGAGACAACTTTTAGGAGTTGGTTATCTCCTTCCATCTTTATGTGGGTTCTGGGGATGGAACTCAAGTCATCAGGCTTTCATGCCTTATGCATTTAACCATTGAGCATCTTGCCAGACCAAAGTTATAATTAATATTATAAAAAGAACTCCAATTGTGGAGTACCAATTCTCATAAGGAAAGAAATGATGTAACTGAAAATTACACAAGTTATTGGTTTCCTTTTGGTTCTATCAAAACTCAGGATCCATAATATCCCAAGTCAAGAACTATACATATACTCATACTACCAGTCCCCAGCTAAAAATTGGAATTCTACTCTTTTCATTTCTGGACAATGGTCTTTCACTACAGAATCTTCAAGCTTCAACAATTGTCCCTGTTTTGCTTCCCAATCTCCAGGTCTGCTCAGTGAGCAGCACACTTGATCTTGTCCTCTGCTCCCCCACCTCACAGCCCTACAACCCCTCCTCCTTGATATCAATCAGCAAAGGAATTCAGCAACACAATCTCCTATCTCCATGCTTTGCATCGATAAGAATTAGCTCCTCTACACACAAGAAAAAGAGAAAGACTCAGGGTATACAACTTTGTTCTGGGTGATTCTGACTTTAGGGCAGGAGTCTCACAGCATGCCCTTGGTGAATATTCTAGGGGGAGGAATACCTCAAGTGTCTTCACTAAAGAGGCAATGAGAATAGGGTGTGTAGCTTCAGTGCAGTAACATGAAGAGTGGTAGCAGCTATAGCTTTGTAGAAGAGTGCTGAAGAATTAATGCAATGTGAGGGAGTGGACACAAGGCCTAGCAAATATTAAGGGAAGTTTAACTACAGAGAGGGCATAGAAACAGAGAAACTCCTAGAGGAATAATGCGGTCAGGAAAATAGTTGTTTCACTTAAGATTAGGAGAGTTATAAGATTAGGAGAGTTAGACTATCTGCTTATTTGCATAAAGCCATCTCATGTCCTTAACTAAATGTGCCCGATGACATAATTTTCATCTTACAGGTCCACGTAAATGGACATTACTATTTTCCATATATGCTTCTAGTAAGCTCCATTCTTGCATAAACCTCAAGAATATTTTATGCATTGAACAGAAAAGAAACAAAAAACAAAATGAAACAAAGCCATGTGAATGGAGAGAAACAAACTGTGTAGCCAAAAGTACTTCAAGGTCTCCTCCAACCAATAATCTGTTCCCTAAGACACTTGAAGCATGGTGAGAGTTGTGATGCTCTCAATTCAGCAATGGCACATGGTAGAAACAGGCCTAAGTCAAACCTCTTATAGCATAAGGTGAAGAGGTAGAGGCAGAGGCAACAGTTGCCTGATGCCTTGCAGTTCGTGCTTGGAATCTCTGTCTAGAGGGTCCTTTTCCAAGCTTATCCATTATTTTTTGAAGTTTTTTCTGCAAATTGCGAAGATCCTCATGTATTTGCCTCTGCCTACAAATAAACAACAGCATAATCAATAGAAAAGTAAAGAGTGAGCTGTATGAAGGGTAAGGATCAGGCAAATTTTTCATATGGTGCCTCAATAGGAGGAATAAGATCACAGAAAGATAGACATTTGCATTAATTAAGCATCCACTGTATTCCTTATACAAAATAACTACTACAGCAGAATATGTCAGCAAATGGCCTTAATCCCAATACTCAGATGGGAAGGCAGGAGGACTGAGGATTTGAGGTAAATTTTGGGATAAGTCACATGAGCGAGGCTTTGAAATAAATAATAAATAAACAATAAAACAAATAAATCTAATTTCTATTTAAAACAATGAAATGAAGTTTGATGTTATTGTCCTTGACAGTGAGGCTCTTAAAAGTGGAGACCAATCTATTTCTATGTCTCCTCAGCACAGCCCAGCACCATGCCTGGAGTTATAGTTTAGCAATTACTTAAAGTAAACCCAAATTAGCTTGAGTGTAATGGTTTTTGCTTTACATCTGTTTTCATCTGCTTTAATAACAATAATTCAGACTAGGTGTTCCAATGCAATTGAGTCTGGAAGAATGTAAAACCCAAGAAAGAGACCAAATTTCTCCAGAGAGAGCCAGGCTTTCCTCAGAAAGTCTATTTGGCTAGATTTGAAATAAAAACAGGGGGCAGAGCAGAAGGCTTTGCCATCTACAACAGATATGAATACTTACCTCTTCAATAATTGTTGCCGAGTTGGCCTCATTATTCAGTCAGGTACAGGTGGTCTCTAAAACCAAACCAGACCAATATTTTGTCAAGTAATCATCTTTCTACAGTCTGTAGCATCTACCTGTGCTATATTTATCACCTATCACCTTTCTACCCTCTATTTATCTCATCTTCTCTCATCTACAATCTATCTTTGATATGTCTTCTCTCAACTATCTACCACCTATCTTTCCATCATCTATTGTCTACCATTCATTTTCTACATATCATTATCCATTATCTATTATCTATCAACCTATTATCTAACTTCTATCATGTACTGTATTCCCATCATATATCTCCTATCATCTATTTGCTATCAAATCTGTCTAAACTCTATCATCTGTCTATATATGTATGTAAATCCATACTCTATTTTCTATCTGCCATGTATTTATCATATATGTACCTCTCATTTATCTATGTAGTACCTATGTTATGTCTACCATGTATCACTTATCTTCTACTGCCTGTATTTTATGCTATATACAACATCTGTCATGGATTTATACTTATCATCTAGCTTTCCATTATACTCAAGCCATCCTCTGTTTTCTCTTACTTCATATCAATAATCTATCCTCTTACTATCATGTATCTATCCTTCACCTATTATCTTTTATCATAATATATCATGTACATATCCTGTGCTTACATTCATTATATTATTATTATTATTATAGCTATCCTGTGTCTAATTTCCATCTCTTATGGACGAAGTGCCTATATATACAGCATTCCTCTCAGATCTATTATCTTTCATCTATCATCCATCTTATACTTAGTCTAAGTCTTTGTTTCATCTATTATCTTCCATTTAACTACCATCTATTCTCTAGCTATACTGTATCTATCAACCATCATATGTAATCTAGCTACCCTGTGTCTATCTCCCAAATTTCTGCACTCTATCATACATATATCCTGTGTCTATATTCCATCTATCTATCTCTATTCTGTAGCTCTACTATGTCTCTCTACCTATATACCCACTAACTATCCTGTGTCTATCTTTGTATCTGTCCTGTAGTTATCCTGTGTCTATCTTCCATTGATGGAACACCTATATTTTAAGTACCCAAGTCTATCTTACATATATGGATCATCTAACCTCTAGCTATCATGTTTGTCTACTATCAATCATTTATCCTCTAACTAGCGTATATCTTCCTTCCATCTATATTTCATCTATCTTCTTCTGTGTCTATTTTCCATTTATCATTTTCCATCTGTGTATCATCTATTCCCCAGCTATCCTGTGTCTGTCTACCATCTATCTAGCCTCTAGCTTTTGCACGTCATTCTTTCATCTATCAATCATTCATCATCAAGATATCCTATGCCTATCTTCCTTGAACACCTCTCCCGTGCCTCTCCTGTGTCTATCTTTCACCTGTAATATATCCTCTAGCATGTCTATGCCTATCTTCCATCTACTTATTTTACATCTATATATTATATATCCTCTAGCTATACTCAGTCAGTTTTCCATCTATCATCTTTCCTCTAGGTATCCTGTAACTATCATCCAACATCTACATTCAAGCTGTACTATGTCTGTCTTTCATCTGCCATTTATCCTCTATCCTTTGTCTGTCTTCCATCTTTTTATCATCTATCCCTTAGCCATCATCTATCATATATCTAGCCAAATTTCATCTCTCTTCTTTCTTCTATACCCTCATTCTTCAATTTATCACCTACTCTTTATCTTAGTTCTTCATTTTCTATTACATAACCATCTATTGTCTATAATCTACCATCATTTTGTATCAATGACTGATAATTTATCACCTATTAATCATTCGCCATCCTTCATATGCTTTGGTACCAATTAACCCTCATGATAAAACACGTCAGAATTCAAAAATACAGCCAGTCTGGTCCTATTTGCCAATGTATGGCATGAGAGAATCAGAGATAGTAACCTGTGTTATAAATAGTATTACTTGAGAAAATGAGAGGCATTTTATAAAGATCAAGTTAGACAACAAAGCTTAAAGACCACAGATAGGTATGTACTTGACTACATGAATTCAGACTAAACTAAAAACTGATATAACTAAAATATGCTATTATCATATCCACAGTTTACAGTTAGTGAGTTCACCATCTCTGCCTCAATGATAGGTACAACATTAAACATAAAATAACATAAGATTTTTCCCTTACAGCACAGCAGCAGTTGACTTAACCTTACCTCACCACCCACTTGAAGTCAACTGCTCTTATGTTTACTGTATCCAGGCAACCACAGAATGCACACTGCCTATGTGATTGGTTGAGAATGTAAGACCCATCAACTCTGATTGGCCAAAGGCTGTGATTGGACAAAACACAAATTTAAATGACTCTGGTTTCTGTTAAGAACAAGACTGTGATTGGTCTAAAAATACCAACTTCAATTACTATGATTGGTCCTAAGTGTCATTCATCTTTGATGAATGATTGGTGGTAAGTGGCAATGTTGTAATTGGTCTAAAATACAAGCCTCAATGCTTGTGACTTGTTCTAAAAGGCAAAGCAGTTGGGCTTAATGAGTAACTCAGGAGACATTCACAAGTTCCTGCCTTTCTTGGGTTGTAACACCAGGCTCAATAAAAGATATCTCTTAAGTGATTTTATATGTATGAATATATATATATAATATTTTGATGTATATATATATATATAATATTATTTTATGTTAGTTTTTTGCCTTCATGTATGTATGTGTACCATGTGCATGCCTGATATACATAGAAATCAGAAGAATGTGTTGGAT